GCTAGAGGCATGGACAAGGTAAAAGGCGGAGTTTATCGGTGTTATGGAACGTTATGATCTGAAGCAAGATGCACATTTCACTTTTTTATATCTCGCAAAATAATCGCTGCTCGAAATGGTGAATCGCCTGTACTGGTCTGTCGAAGATACCAAAGCTCTTCTGAGCATTTGGGCAGAAGAAAGGTTACAACGTCAATTTGACGGCGTGTGAAGAAACGAAGACGTTATAAAATACATTGATGCTGAACTTTCTAAGCTAATCATTCAGCGAGCAACGCTTCAATTTCCGGGAGAAAAAAAGTTGCGGGCGCAGTATTGTACAAGGCGATTCAAACGCACAATGGACAAAGCGGAGCTCAGAGAAGGAACTTTCCAAATTCCATGGTTCGACTTGATGGACGGTGTGCTGGGTCACCGTCCCTCTGTTAGTGGCGACTCGCGAGACAATCTGGACACTATTGCAGGCTGCAGCCACGGCCGGTGAGTTACTATACATGCTATCTTCCTAACTTAAAAAATAAATAAATTCATAATACCCGCTGAAATGGGTTGGGTTGTATGACGTTTGATCCAGAAAGGCGTGTTAGGGGCGGGGTTTAGGGCAGCGCTGCGGGGCTACTGGCCCGGCAGTGGAAACTCAAGCCACTGCTTGAGGCTCGAGGCCACTGGCTCGGCTCGGCTCGCTGTTAGCCCTGGCCCGGCAGTGGAAACGCGGCTATTGATTCCAATGCTCGTTCAGCACCAGATTAGCTTTTGTTAGGAAAACAAGGAGCAAAATCTAAAAAAGAAATGTGGCTATGCAATGGACAGGGCCTTGACAACCAGAAGAAAACTTTGCTTTAGTGTTTAATGGCACATCTGAGAAAGTAGCATAGCGGAGGGCGCAGTATGCACAAACTGTAAACGCACGTCAGTGTTTGCTAGCACTTCTGAGCTCAGCAGATGTCCCTCCTACAAATGTGGCAGCCTTTGCAGGTGTATCACTGCCGCCTCCCCACGCGTTAGATAATATCACAGCCACAAAAGAGTTTACAAAACACACAGCTAACTGCCAATTATACCGAACAAGCCGCTGCCTGCGCGGCACCTCTATGCAGCACTCTAAAGACGCTTTTCGAGAGGGTGTGTTATGATTTTTTTCTGTCATGTAAGCATGTTTAAGAGGGTGATGATGTATAACCAACTATATATCACTAGGCACTCATTCGCATGCATCAGATACTCATTATGGTGCAGGGGTTTATGTAACTAAACGCAAAAAAAAAAGCAAAATAATGATCAGGCTGTGAATGAGTAGCTCTGTTATGGTACTGTAGGAAGTGGATGTCTGCTGGTTACTGGACTGTCACACTCGCACCTCATATAGAAAACATATTCATAATAACAGCTCTCGTACCGCACTTCCATTAGAGTGCCGCTTTAAATGCCACCAGGTTAATTGAATCTCTGATTACTGTGATTCACATGCGTGAGTCTCATCAAAAGAAATACATGCGGAGAGATTCAAGCACATACTAAGGAGAGATTAGAGCAAGGAAATCAGGAACATTTCGGGATAAGAATATCAAGTATATCAGGACGATGGGCCATGCGCTGTGAAATAAACCAAGCCATCGGTCAATGTCTCTAGAATTAATTTCCAGTCAAATTAAATATAGATCACATCTTAGGTGCACTGAATACGAATTCATTGAGGTGTCTAAAAAAACGCTTCTGGTCATGTCAATAAGTCAACCACTTGTATCATTGGGCCACAGTAGCCATTTTTTTTTTTTTTTTTTACATTTTCAAACTTCTTTAGTGTGTAATGTGCTGTTTGAGCCTGAAAAAATGTCTGCAAAGTTACGAAGGACAAAGTCCTCTCCAAAAGAGGGCAATTCTCTATATCAGTAAGCACTGTGTCTGAACTCCCTAAAATGCCTTGATTGTAGTCATGAGCTTTCTTCTGGGAACATACTGTACACGTCACAATATCCCTCATTTAAATAATTCACACCCAAGGCATACGCAAAAATAAGTTTAATTCAAGCTTCATATATTCTTTTTTTTATCAACACTTGAAAGTGGGTAAGTTTCATAAAAACAGCAAAAAAAAATTGATAAAAAAAGCTGAGGAATTAATCTTTTTGTCAAAGACAATGTGCATAAGCAATGCTTTTACCACTTGTTTTTGCTTTTCTTTTGCCTGTGTTTGATCTGGATATTCTGTACACTTTCAGAAGATATATATAATAGCGTCCCCCTATTGTATAACAGTGAAAACACTGAATCTCATAGTCTCATAAGTGCTTGATTAATCACAACACTGGTCCAGCCAACCAATCAGAGCACATTGCAATCTTCAAAAATAGGGGCTGTATAGAGACAGGAACTATTCAGTGTGTTACTGACAGACTCAACAAAACCTCAACATAAGAGGTCCCCTTTAAACTGAATAAAATTGTTAAGAGGAGGACTGGTTCAAAAGCGTAAACTGCAACTAACTGCCACCATGAACCAGGCACGTTGTGTCATGGTGAGCATTTGATAAATTCTGATTCTGCATAACTTCCTGTCCTCTATCCACCTTCTCTATCAATAAAAAAGCAGCAAAAGTCAAATGCAACAAATAGGAAGTCTATTACCATTTAAACACTACTAAATAAACTACTAAATGCAGTGACTAAATAAACTAAAAACAATGTAACTGTTTTCGTGACATTTACTCTCAAAGTGCTGGGTACAAGATAAAGAGGAAAAGTGCATCCAATCCTCTGCCTGCCGAGGATAATGAGTGTAATAAGGCATTTCATTGCAGCCATTATTAAAATAAGCAAAGAAACAGCCACAAGGTCTAGTTTTAAAAGGCTTGCTTTCATAGATTCAACTTTAAAAGGGTTCTGTGTACAAAGCAATTAATTTTTAGGCAAGTGACAAGCAAAAACCCTGTATGAAACACGTTATCTTCTAATGGTGGAATATCTTATGCACTACTGTTTAAAAGTTTAAGGTCAGTAAGATTTTTCTTTTTAAGAAATGAATACTTTTCTGTCAGGTCCATTAAGTCAAGAACACACAAACAAAATAATTTAGAATTTAATTGAATAGATTGCAAACAGGTTGATGTTCCTGAATTGAAATTTGGCGGTATGGCTCTGTTCAGGGAGTCCTCTGACCTTTCATGAGCACCATGAAATAGCAGAGAGTCAGAGGACAGCAGCAGCAGCATTAGGGAACGCTCACACAGTTTTAGACTGTGAGAGCTAAAATATCCCCCCAAACAAAACCACACCTGGCAATCCTCTGTGATACAGAGGATGATTTATTTGACCACATGACCTATTCCCCCCAAAACAAAATTGAGTGTCTCGAACGGTGTCGACTGAGCCGCCCTAATTTACCGATTTATAAATGGTAAAAATATTAATTAATTACTGAAATGACTAATCAAGACCGCAATAGCTAAAACATGCTGTTACCTAGATTATCGGTCTTTAAACTGTTTGACAGCTCTGTTTTACAGTGTAAGCTCTATGGATAGATGACTAATCCACCTCTGAGAACGAGCTAGATGAATAAATTAACAGCTGATAGCGCATTCAGGGGCGTTACTGAGCAGAGCGCGAGCAAAATAATGATCAAATGTGTTTTATTAACGAAACAAATCAGAGACTTGAGCTCATGGCTTCTGGTCGTCAAGAATATCCCGAACATCGGCACGGAGGTATCGTTCGTAAGCAGCAGAAACCACCGCCCCATAGCTTAAAGGCTTAAACCGGAGCGAGTGTCGCCGCCGTAGTTGCTGCACAATGCGTAAGAATGAGCTGTATACGGTCCGGAGGCAGTCCGCAGAAGTTAAATCCTATCACAGCAAGCTGCTTGAATCTGCGCTGCATAGTGGTAAAAGCCAGCGTGAGCAACGCGATCAGTTGCCAATGACAACAATAGTAACGCACATAGCCAATATGATCATGGCATTTTTACGAAAACGACAATTAGATAAGCCCAAATGCCACACGGATAGCATTAACAACAAGCATGTTGCCAACACACTGATAGCTTTTAGCAATGAATATTAAAAAGGAACTTAGCTTTGTGAAGATTTTCAGAGATGAATGGAGAATGAATCACGTCGAGTCCGGTGTCAATATTGCAGCAGAAGCGAGCAGCGAGCCAGCAGAAGCGAGCAGCAAGCATGTATGAGCAAGGTGAATGAGCTTTAAATAGGGCGCCTTGTTTGAGCTTTGGCCATTGAGCAGCGAGGGGAGTTAACCAGCTAATGCTAATAAAAAACATTTTATTTCTCCTTAAATTAAATTAATATTTCTTTTATTAATTGATTTATTTATACACTTAGAACTTTTACAAACTATAGCCACATATTAAATGTTACTTTAAAAATCTTCATTTTATTTCCAAAACTATTACATTTGATAAACATTATGTAGTAGCCTTTTCTGAAATAAGAAAGTGAGGTGAAAAGTGTTACCATACAAGGTTAAAGAACAAAGTTCAGGACATTTACAATTGCCAGTGAATCTTTTGTCTCATTTTATCCATTTAGTTTTTTCTTTGGATACTTCACACTTCTGTTTGTTCAACAATGGGGGGGAAAGACTTGGGTATGTCAGAACTGAATTTTTTAGATATTTTTTTTAATCTCTGGGTATTACAGAATGAGACAGAGAGGTAACAACTGAAAGGCTGGCATGATCCAAATACCACATTGAAAAGAGGTGAGGAAAATCAGTCTCAGATTTGAAGCAGCTCTTTTTAAACCAGGGCAAACAAACCAAATAAACACCCACTCAGCTAATTCCTGTAGGAGCTAGCCAGGTACATGAATGTGTGCCTTTTGTTGAAGGAAAGGCTCATCTAAATAGCATGCAAATAAACCAAGATCCCTTCTGGTAGTAGAACTGATGCGGGTAAAAAATAAACAAAGAGCACTGGTTCACAGAGAGATGGAAATCCAAGAGAGATGGTTCACAGCATGTAAATACGGTAAGACACCACTCTACCTTGTAGTAGGACTCCCTTGTTTTTTCTGTAAAAGGGACTTCCTGGCCATATTGGAGGACTGGACATACTGTAAAGAAAACACAGCGGAGAGAATGATGAGAAAGTGACACGAACAGATGACGTACAACTGACAGATGGACTGCAATCCTGAAAAGACATTTTAAGAGATGAACAGTGCCAAAAGAGAGAGTGAGTAAGGGGCTGTTCACACAGAACGCGTTTTTATATCCCAATGCGGTACTTTTCCATTGTTTTTCTACGTAAACACGTGCTAGACGGACGCGTAAACCGTTGCGCTTGCGTCTTGCGTCTTTTGCAGCGTCTCGCGCATGACAAGGCGTTCTAAAAATGTGGCGTTCAAGTTAAAATCAGTTTAACTTTTTAAAAAGTGTGTCTCGAGACCTTGCGGTTTTTCCCCCATTCCACAGTTCGCGTCTAAGTGTTCTGTGTGAACAAGCCCTGAGACAGACAGAAAAAGCGCATGTACAGTAAACATATCCACAAAGATTCACCATGGTGAACGTAGCGTCTGACAATTTGTATGTTAATACTGTAAATTATCAAGTTATGGGATCATGTTATCACAGCTTTACGTTAATAACATTAACTGATACAACTAGATAGGTGCAAAACGCATGTTTTCAAAATGCACCTGGCACAAAATACTTCAAAACACAGCTTTTCCAAGAGGGTTTTACTGTTTTTTGTTTGTTTGTTTTTTAGCTAGAGCAGCTATAGTAACAGCTAAAGCTAATTGAATCATCACTGTTAAAAAAACAACAACAACTTTTTATTAAAAAACTTTTGGTACAATGGCCGTTTTTTTAAGGGCACTTCATCTGCCCCCTAAATGGACACAATGAGACATCTCCTAAATATATACAAAAGAGTTTTCATCAAACAGCAGGTGACCAAGTAAACAAGACATGGAGGCCTATACAACAATGTTGAGACGTGACTATGCAGCAACATAGCCATTATATCCTTTTTCAAATTGAGCCCTCGTAGCTTTAATCATTACTTTCTCGTGGTGAGATGACAGGGCGGCTCAGGTGATCGTGCAGCAGACTTCAGTACACAGTCGCACAGCAGGAAACCCTTCAGCTGAATTACACACTCCCGATTGGTGGTGCGCCTTTTTTTTTTTTGCACAAATGAACTGAATGAACAGAAGAATGGTGTCAGCACTCTGTGATGTCACTCAGACAGGAAAATTAGATGTTTATTTCTTATTTATTTATATTACTGGTTTTGTAAAACGCCTGAAAATGGACATTGGAATAATTATGCCTGTGATGAACAGGAAATAAACTGGTGCTGTGCTGGATGTCAGAAATACAATCAGACTTCAGGATTTCTCACATATGAAAGCTATTGATTTTTCTTGGAAATCATGGACATTCTTTGGAGAGGAAGGTCAACGGGTCCTTTTCGAAAATAAGTGAAGGTATGAGGCAGTATCTGAGAAGAATGTAAGGAACAAGAGTTATGTGTCAGGGTTACTGTAACAAAAAAACATCATACTCAGATTCCTGTATCTCATGAAAAAAAAAAGATGAACTGCAATAAGTTTAAATATATATATTAGTATAATAAAATGAACCATATATAATACATGTAGTACTTAATTTTAATTAAATTGAATCATTATCATCTTAATATAAAATGTTAAGCATAAATATAAATAATATTACATTACTTGATATATTAATATAATAATATATAATCAGTATATTATATTATAATATTATTTAGCAATAAATGAATTTTATTACCAAGTATTTTATTATTACATTTATTAATTTGCTGATTATTGCTAAATATTTTAAATTAAAAAATCCATATGATGTAATATTTACATAATATAATAAATATAAAATAAATAATCTAAATAAATCAATTATTAAAAACAAATAATCGAAATAAATAAAAGATAAATTACAAGTGATGCAACAGTATAAAAAACTGTAACAAGTAACAGATGGCGATCAAATGTGTAACTTGAGGACGCTAGTGAAAGATGTGAGACCAAACATGATCAAAGTTCCCAAATTCAGTCATGAATTTTCTCTTTATCTTTTTCATCTTCTCTAATAAAATCTTTTTCCCTGAGCCATGATTTTTCCCGCTTCATACTGTTCGCATCCCAAACATTGATCATTTGTGACGGCAAATTTGAATTTCCCGACGTTTTTGTTGGGATATGTGAAGTATTTGAGCATGCTTTCACATTTAGCAGGTCCCACAGAGTTTAGAAACGGTTTAACCACGTCTCTGTTTTCTGACAGTTCCTTCTGATCTAAATATTTTTCGCTTCAAAGGTTACAACATTATTTTTTTTTCTTCCTGTGGATTAGCTGCTCAGTTACTATCAATTATCCGCTTGTGTACGATTCCTCCTCCGTCTCAATGTTCACTGTGAGCTTCACAAATCTAATCAGGAGCAGTCTAATCTTCAATTTAGCCCTCGATCCACTTTCTGCCTCCCTGTAGATTCAGTATGTGCAGACATTGGCTCTGTCATCTTCCCCTTCTTAATCTTCTTAGAGTATATTAACTAATTGAGAATTAGAACAAACAGAGGTGGCACAGGGCTTTGAGCACATTTGTCTACATGGTGTATTTAAAAGCCCGGGCTTGCGGGTTGACGGGGCTGTTTTGGCTCTGGACCTCTTCCGATGAAGGAGCGCTCTATGGTGCGTGGCATCTCTGAGCACCGGGAGGCCGTGTGCCAAAGCGAATAAACACTGCACTGCCACTTCACATTTGCTAATCTCCGCAGGGCTGTCAGACTTCAGGTATCTGCCCTGACAATTGAGGATAATTTAGTGCGAGAAGTAATGGAACCTCTCTATTTCTTTACGGATCCATTAATTACAGTGTTCCGTCAGAATGTGTTTGATTTTTTTCCTTCTTTTTTCCCCGTTGAGAGTGATTAAAACATATCTCAGCACAGCTCAGACACAGCTTGAGATGAACATCTTCATTAGCATACTAGTCGCCTAGCAACTGAAACATCTCTAACTTTCAACTTTGAGATTTTTTTACTAACCTTACACCTGAGTACTACAGCATGCAGTCATTACTAATGTACAGGATGGACCAGTTATGATCCATGTATCCCCTAAATAATTTTTTTAAATAAAATAAAAAACAGAAGAGCACCATCTATTAATAAACAAAGGGAAGAATAATTCCAATAAATGAGACTAGTATCCGAACAGTATAAAAACATTCACACCACATAAACTATAATCATTAAAAAAAGACCACTGTGAATTTAACACTTTGAAAACTCGAGTCGAAAGGACATATTATTAATATGTAATATTAAACATAAATATATAAGTAATCATATCATTAATTATATTATATTTTAAATGGTAATATTTCAATATTTATTATATTTAATATATCTATTATACTCAATGTATTGATTATTTATAAATATTTTATAAAAAAAAAAAATATTAATATTTCACTATTGTTAGTATTATTAGTATTATTTTGCTGTTCTATTTTATTTAGTCTTTTTCTTTTGCTCTTTCTAAAGCATTTTTTCTTTTGAAATGATTTTGTGTTTCAAATATATATATATATATATATATATATATATATATATATATATATATATATATATATATATATATATATAAAAGATATATTACATATAAATAAAAACTGTATTATACATTTAAAAATTAACTAAATAAATAAAAAATAAGATAAATAATTATGTCTTGCAACAGCACCTGAACTGTAATGAATAATGGAATAATTTTGGTGTAACTAATTTAATTACATTTTATTTATGCCGACAGTCAAAAGTCTCGCTACATGAAACTACCGCAAATATTTATGCTTATATGTGTCACAGTCTCACTGAGTTAGGACTTTGTTTTCAGTTTTGTTGAGTTAGTTGTCATGGTTTCTGATTAGTTCTCATTTAGTTCAGGTGTGTGTATTTCATTAGCCTTGTTTGTATGTGTATGGTATTTAAGTCCTCTGTGTCTATTTATTTGCTGTCGGGTCTCGTTCATCTATACCTGTGTTCAAAGCTGTTCTCTCTGTGTGGATTTAGTTTGGATTTATCTGCCTGTGGATTTATTAAAGATTACCTTTGCCTTCATCATCATGTTCGTGTGTGTCCTACAACACAGCATTGTGACAATATGCTTATAAGACAAAAACAACGTGAACAGTACCTAAGTACAGTACCGCACATAGACAAAACATAGCATACTAGGCTTGAGATAAAGGAGACCCAACTCTTTTGTGGATTGATACAGCTATAGGCATAGCACAACCTGAAGGTATTCATGCACCATGCTTCTGACACAGGCACAAAGAGACTGTTGGCTGAGGAAGGGGCCAGATCCCTGCGGGGCTGGGTTCACCATGCCATGTCTACCTCTTTCGGTTTCTCCTTCCATCCCTTTAGCAGTCAAGACCAGTGTTTGTACTTCTAATGCACATATGCTTTGTATCGGGTTACAGCTACGGTATGTGTTGCCATGGACACAGCATGCCTCATGATAGACGACCCAGGTCCTTTTTTAATCAGCTGTAAGAACCAAAAAAATAAAAGCGGGAAAGCTTTTATGATATTACGTTATTTATATGTTATTATGTGCCCTCCACTCTCTGAACATAATAAAAAGAAATGAGATCTCCTGCTGCAATTATTTGGCCCATGGTTTCGCCAGTAAAATTTAACACATTCAAAGGAGTGAACAATCAAACTGCTGGTGATGGAATTTGAGCCCATGAGCCCTAATATAGCCTTGCATCAAGTGCCTCTTGTTCTTGAGTAAAGGAACCATTACTGTTACTCATATAGGAGCTTGTTCAAATCATTAACACTAAGTATTCGACTTAGACGCAGAACGTCTGTGCTACGGACATGAATGATTCCTCAAATCATAGACCTTGTTGAGAAGAGGTGTGCTACTATTTTTCTAAGCATTCTGGTAGAAGTACATTAACGGACAAAGGGTTGTAGCTACTTTTTTTTTGGGACAGTAAGAAACCACCCAGAACACCCTAACAACGCCATGGATTCAACTA